CTGCTAGTATAAACTGCATTTGGATGAATTGTTGCAGTAATTGTTGAAGGATCAAATTTTATTTCATCCATTTTATAAAACATTTTTCTAATTGATTTTTCATCCTTACATTCTTTTTGTTTTTCTGAATATCCCCAACCTGAAATAAATGAACTCCAATCATAAATAATCTCAAGAATTTCTTCAGCAGTTGGACGTTTATCTGGATCAGCATCCATGCATCTGAATGCTAGTTCAATGTAGAATCTTGGTGTGTTGTTTGAGAATCTTGGTCTTGCACCTCCACATATTTTTGTTGCAAGTTCTACATCATGTGCAAAATTATTAAAAGGTTGTTGGCCAGTTGATACTACAGACATCAGAACTCCAAAACTGTATATATCTGATGCTGTTGTATATGGTTTCTCCTTTAAAATTTCTGGTGCAACATATGGTAGTACTCCAAATATATCATTTTTGTTTGATGATAATGTTTGACTAGCTGGGCATGATAATCCTAAATCTGTAATATATGACTCAACAAATTTTTTAGATTGAAGAATATTACCACTATGAAGATCACGATGAATAATTTCTTTTTCATGAATATCTTTTAATCCAGTAATAATTTGTCCAAGAATCTTAATTTTATGTTCCCATTTTAAATTTTTAAAATATTTTGTTAAATAATTTTGAAGATTTCCATCTTTTATATATTTCATTACAAATATATATTCTTTTGTTATTGGATCTTGTGTTAATCCATAAATATGAATTATATCTGTTTTATCATGGAACTCTGTATAATTTTTGAACTAAAATTACAAATAAAATATTTAATTACAATAATAATAATCAAAAAAATTTGAAAATAAATAGAAAAATAAAATAATTTACCTCATTAAGAAATTCATTAGAGATATTCTGTGAATCATGCAATTTTTTTAATGCTACAGTCCTATCTTTACTACACCTTTTTCTATCATATGTGTACTTTTTACCATTTATCCAAGTAGCTTTGTATATAGTTGCAAAACCACCTTCACCTATCTTTTCAATATTTGTTAAATCATTATAAGAAATCCATAAAAGATAATATTTATTATCATACCCAATTGCTTTAAGTTGTGTGCTTTTAATTAACATATCTAATGTTTCATTGCCACTAGTCCATCCTTCAGTTAATAGCATTTGATCACATGATTGACACCATGAATAATAAGTATTATATCTATTGCAAGTTGGACATACCCCATATATTTTATCTCTTTCATTTTCCATGAAATATATTACAAAGATATATTCTTTTGTAATTGGATCTTCTGTTAATCCATAAATATGAATTGTATCATCTTTAAGCTTCATATAATTTTTGAACAATAAAATATTTAATACAATAATGATATTTAAAAAATCTGAAACTAGTATTGACAAAACAATTTACCTCATTAAGAAATTCATTAGAAATATTCTGTGAATTATGTAATTTTTTTAATGTCACAGGCATATCTTTACTATGCCTTTTTCTATCATCTGTATACTTTTTACCATTTATCCAAGTAGCTTCATATAGAGTTGCAAACCCACCTTCACCTATCTTTTCAATATTTGTTAAATCATTATAAGGAATCCATTGAAGATGATTACTATAATAACATGCTTCAAGTTGTATGCTTTTAATCAACACATCTAATGTTTCATTGCCACTAGTCCATCCTTCAGTTAATAACTTTGGGTCACATGATTGACACCATGAATAACTAGTATTATATTTATTGCAGGTTGGACATTCCCCATATATTTTATTTCTATTATATGAATCTTCATAATTTCGAAGACTTTTATCCATCACAAATATATATTCTTTTGTAGCTGGGTCTTGTGATAATCCATGAATTTTATTTATAAATGATTTACCATGAAATGTAACATAATTTCTAAACTATTAAAAAAAAAATATATATTGAATTTCAGAATAATATTAATAATATTTAAAAAAATCTAAAAACAAATAGAAAAATAAAATAATTTACTTCACTAAGAAATTCATCAGAAATATTCTGCGAGTTATGTAGTTTTTTTAATGTCACAGGCATATCTTTACTATATCTTTTTCTATCATCTATATACTTCTTACCATTTATCCAAGTAGCTTCATATATAGTTGCAAAGCCACCTTCACCCGTCTCTTCAATATTTGTTAAATCATTATAAGGGATCCATTGAAGATAATAATAATTATCATATGTTGTTGTTTTAAGTTGTGTACTTTTAATCAACTCATCTAATGTTTTATTGCCACTAGTCCATCCTTCAGTTAATGACTTTGGATCACATGATCGACACCATGCCCAATAAGTATTATATCTATTGCAAGTTGGACATTCCCCATATACTTCATATCTTTTCTCCATTTTTGTGTTTTTCATTATAATTTGTCAAAAAAATATTATTTTTTTTTTAGCCACAGTATGTATCACAAAATAATTTGCATTGATAATTAACTATACATTTGCTATTTGTAGCTTCATCAATAACACAGATTAAACAAATAGAACATGCAACATGGTAAAATTCTTTTTTTTCTTTTGTCCATATTAACAGATAATGCTTATAACAAACAAGTTTGAGATTATTAAATAGTTTATACAATGAATATGATATGGTGACAACACTACTATTTCTTCTTTACTATTCCTACTACATTCTTTTATTAATTCGGACTGAACTCCAAAAATCCTATACATTTTTTTTAATTTCCAATTTATGCAACACTCTTTTGTGAATCAATTTAACCAATGTGACTGGCAACAGTTAACGTATTTCTGCGTTCCAGCAAACATGTTCATGCAGTACATTGTTAATTATAATAAACAAATTCTATAAAAATTAAACAAGGTCTCCAAGGAAATGTTTTATCCATTTCTTGACCACAATTCAGGACAACAAATCACTTTGTTACAGATTTAGTTCGAGTCTATTTATTGATCATGTTCTTTTTTTTGAAACGAAACAAAAAATTGATTAATAATTGTTGTATTTTTTAGAATTAAATTAACATCTCTAATCTGCACACATCGTTGCAAATATATTCATTAAATTAGAAGTAAACATATTTGGAGAAAACATTCAATATAATAATGCCTTTAAGAGGGATTTAAAGTCGACACTTTCCTCTTAAGAAGATACTTCAAAAATTTGATAAATATAAATATTTAGAAAACGCTAGTTAAAGGAACCAATTTACTCCACATCTTACCATTTCTACCAGTGTTACGCACGTAATATTTAAACAAAAATCGCGCGGTAAGTCCTAGTTATAGGTTAGTTTATCAAAAAGTATCCTGTTAATTATGCCGTCACTTCGTGACGTCATAACCAACATGATATTTTTGATCAACTAACCTATAACTAGGACATATCAAGCATGAGCAAACAAGTCGACTTTTAATTAATATCAAGGTGTGACGCCTACAAAGCATAAAAAAGCGTTAAACGATGCTATCATCTGAGTTTGAAACATATAACAAACGGGTTAATTCTGATCTCTGTAAAACAACTTTAATTAGTACGCACGATATTGGCTTTAATTTTGAAGTTTACCAACAGATTTGACAATGATTAATTTGTTTCCTTTCTTATTCCATGCTGTCATCGATTGGACGGGTCCTAGGAGTATAAGTTGCATTGCGATTTGAGTTTACTGATTTCACATTCTATTACGTAGTTAATGGTTGGTAAAACTAACAAAGAATTTCAATTGTCAAGAAATAAAAGAAATATACGATACAGTAATGTGCACACTATCTGCGGATATAAATCCTAGTGATTAGTTGTATGATTTAATTGATAATTTTTATTAATAATGTAAAAGAGAATTCATTATCGCTTAGAATCCGTGTGACCACAACATATTAATATATCAGTATATATGGGTGGTTCTCTAGCAAAAGGTAGCTTAAATGCCCTCTGACCAAAATTGAGATTATTGCATAATATATATTTATATTATAAGGATTATAACTGGTGAAAAAATCAGTCACTATTTATTTAGTAAAAAAAATGAGATACAAGGCTTGAAATTTCTTAATTTACTGTATATACTCAAGTTCAAAATATTCTATGAAAAAAATTTTGTTACACGAAATTTACTTTGTCTCAATTTCTTAAACGTATTACAAAATTTGGAATTTTCAAAATGCCAAGGCTCTACCAATTTTTTAGTTTAAGAAAAAGCTAGCCGATAAGTTTTGAAGCTTGAATCATGAGCAATAAAATTTATTGGATAACTTTTTTAAAAATTTTTTGTTTTAGTATTTTGAAGTTGACCAATTGTTACTATAAGCAATTAATTGATTATATGTATTAAAAAAACGCTAAAAACAAATAAAAATTGCAAATTGGAACTTGAAAATTGCGAAATTGTATGTAAAATAAATACAAATATAGAATCATAAATTTTGATCAACATTTAACAATGAAATCAAAGATTTTCCCAATCTTGATAAATTCTCACCCTAATAATAATTGGAAATATCAATCAATAACAAAATCTTTCGAGGATAATAAAATTCCATTTTCGACTACGTATTCATTAATATTTTCTCATCATTATAGCAGTTTTAAAAACATGACAAGTATCAAATTCATTGAACCTAATGAACTGAAGAATATTATAAAGGACAAGACTAAAATTCCTGGAAAAGATTATTTGATTGTTGATGTTAGAGATGAAGATTATTCGGTAACTGCGATTTATAATTTCATTTTAAAAAAATCAGACTTTGGTTTTAACCTATGTACACACACATATATATATCTACACATACATACATACATACATACGTACACATTTTTAGGGAGGTAATATACCAAATAGTGTAAACAAGCCTTCCAGTGAAATAAATGACAGTTTAGAATCCCTGATTTCTGATTATAGTAAAGGTTAATTAATTAACTTGATAATAATAATATTTAATTAGCTAACCAACTATTTGATGAAATTTTCTTCTAAATTTTTAGTTTCTTCCTTTTCAATTTATAACTTATAAACAGTTCCACAATTAATTTTCACTTGCGCACTATCTCAAGTTCGTGGACCAAAATGTGCTAGAATTTATTCAGAAAGAATAGCTCTCAAAAATGTCAAGACTGATCAGAAAGTTTTAGTTTTAAGAGGTGGGGTTGCTGGATGGCAAAAAGAAAATGGTCAAGACATTGAGTTGATGGAAAATTATGATCGTGAACATTGGGTACTCGAGTATGGAGATTATTAAGTAAACAAAATAGTTATTTTTGTTATTTGCTATTTATTTGTTTATTAATCACTAAATAAATTAACTACCAAATCCAATTGATTTACTAAGCTGTAAAACCTTGATTTTTTTAGCTTGTTATAATGAATCATTTTTGTGTGATAATAAGCAACTTGGTCAACTTCTTATTTTGTGATGTTAATTCACCCATCAAAAATGTCCAGTTTTACCACAATTAAATCAAGTCCATCATTATTATCATTTGAATTAGTGATTTTTTTATATACTAAATTTTTAATGAATCTAATTTTTCTTTTAAATTTTTGTTCAATTAAATTTTCTACAATTGATGATACATATTGTTGAATGGGAGCTAATGGATTAATTAGTTGATGAATATCCTGGCATCATATAATTCCATACTTTTAGGAAAGGCATTTGAAACAATCTTTAATCTGTTAATTGTTTCGTCTAATATTGTTGGCATGGATGATCGAACAGGTACAAGGAACTCAGATCTTAATTCATCCATAAGTTGATGAATTCTGAATATACATTTTCTGAATCAGCCTTTTCTCCACGATCCATTCATCCAAAGAAGCTCCATATTCTCCTACAGTTTCACCAATCTTTAGTTTTTATTTCCAAGTTGATGCATCCATTGTGAAATATGAAAGGGACTACAAAAAATGAGGTTTAAATACATTCACAAGTCCATGATCTGGATATGTAATCTATTAGTTCGAAGATTTTGATTATACCATGTTAAAAGCAGTTCCTTTTAAATAAGAAAGTGACAATTGATAGTTATTCAGAAATACTAAATGTTTGTAGCCATTCTGTAGGATCTTGACACCCTCCCTTAAATATAGGAAACTCTATTAATTTCTTTTTTGGTTATCTAAAATAGTTGATAGATTTATAAGTTATTCAAAATATTTATACATGTAATTTAAAAAATCAAGATATTTCTTTGATACTGAATTAAAATTAATTAATTTTATGTTCTGTTTTCAATCCACCGAAATAATTGTATCGACTGAAAAATATATATAATTATTTGTAGTCAGGTAACCAGAATTTACAAAATTCATTTACACTTGAAAGAAGAAAACAAAAAGAATCAAACTCGACCATCTTAACTCTCTAATTCATAAGAGCTTCTTAACATAATGTAAATAATTAAATTGATCATTTGATTGATTAATTGATAACTATTTTTTTTTAACTTTGCCGTTACAATACATTTGTTAGTGCAAAAGAAAAACCAAAGAACTTGGTAACATTATTGCAGAATGATTTATATTAAATAAATATAATTTATAAGATTGCGGGAATGGCCAAGTTGAAGTTGATTGTCTTTTCACAACTTTTTTCCGTTTGACAGCGTGTTAAAATAATCTAGTGTTCTTTTTATAATAATAATAATTACAATAATTATATTGTTTTTGCCAACCTCTTGTAATTCACGCTCATCTGAACTTTATTGATGATTGTTTTTCTTTCTTTTTATTAGAGCTATTGGTTTTTTTTCAAATTTTTGAGTGTAGTCGTGTTATTTTATATCAATTTTTTCACTATATAATTTCTACTAACCGATAATAGCGTTCTGTTAGTAGTATTTCTGGATATTACGATGCTTTTGGTGCTTATACAAATAAAGCAAGAGTCTAAATATTATCTATCATTGGTGAATGAATTATTTATTAGATTTTATTAGTAATTAGCAAACTAACTTTATAAGGTTGTTAATTTTCATTTAAATTATGAAAGATTTGCATCCTGCGTATTAAAATTCAAACAAATCATAATAAACAAATCATACTTTGATTACTGAAACATAATAGGATTATAGGGAATGTCTTCTCAAACGTGCAGATGGTAAAATGAAATTTCATATGTTTATTGCACTATGATTATTTAGTAGTAACATCCCTCACAAAAGACACGACTGATGAAATAACAAGTTACAATGCTTATCTTGTGCTACAAGAGTGAGGGACGTATAGGGTAAAAAGTCCAAGTTAATCAAGGAACATAGTGTAGGTCTGAGGATATTCAAAAGCAAAGTAAAAAAAAACAATAATGTTGTGGAGGGAAAAAAAGAAAGTAAAAAGAATAATTCACAAGTTTCATATTGGTTATATTAGTTAGTATCTTTTAACAAATTACCAAGAAACTCGCCTGATTTATTAAACAAGAAAAAAATGCACAAGTTGGTAAACGTCACAAACAGTACACCAAAATTCCCTCAAATATAAGCAAGTAAACCTGAATATCGGGTACTTTCAAAAGGACTCGTGAAGACATTTTACAAAGTTCCTATCAATGATTGAAATCTCGATGCAAGTCCATTTCTTCGCCGTGTTTGAAAAGTGTTATTTGACCAAGACCTAAAATCCTTCAATTTAAATTTTCTAGTTCCTTTTTTTGATTGATCGTTCACACCTCCTTTCCAACTCAAAGTTTTACGAATTATGTTTGCAAAAGTATATATGGAGCCTGTTACCAATTAATTAATGCTAATGTTTAATCAAAAGTTTACTTTTTTTTTAGAAATGTTATATAATAATATTAACGAATGAGGAGGAATGATGATTAAATCCTAATCCAGTAATCAAGAAGGTTTATTATTAGAAATTTGAAATACGGTTATAGAAAGTTTTGGTATTATTTACGTTACACTTGCTTCAACATTGTATAACAAAACATTTGACATTATTTTTGGGACTGAAAAAATATTCCATTTTTTTTTTTAATATTTTAAAAAATTTTAAACATGCCTACAGCTCGTAGAAAAGAAGATGAAGATTATTCACCTTCAGAAAGTGAAGATGAAGTCGATGAACCAAAAGTAGATGAAAAACATGAGACTCGTACCAATAGGAGGAGGAAAAAACCGTTGAATGAAATTTCCAAGAAAAATCCTTCACTTAATTCTGTCAATTCCGAAAACTCCAACAATTCAATTCAAAGCAATTCATCAAAGAAAAATCAACCTTCTTCATCAAAAAAACCTCCCACAAAAAAAAAAAGACCAAGGCGTCAAAATACATTTGTTGCTGATAAAAATAAAAAAGATAAAAATTCAGCGTATAAAGTAGTACCAAAAATTGTTATTAGAAATCCTACTAAGAAAGTAGTAAAGATTTTTAGAAAAGCTTCTTTATCATTACAAATGCCATCATCGGAGAACAAAGAAAATTTATTGGCACCACCAACACATGCTCGTAAAAAAAGCCAAAAAAAGAAAGAGCTTCTTGAAGATGATGAATTATTGATGTCACTTCCATTACCATCATCTTCATCACATCATGTACCTGATAAAAAGAAAAGCCTAATTGGATCAATGAATATACAAGCGTTTGGTAAGAAAAAATCTTCAAACAGTGCAGTCATGCGTATTATCGTAGATATTCTGAAGGCATATGATATTGTACTTTGTCAAGAAATTCGATTAACAGACGAATTAATCAAAAGACTTGTTGACTCAATATCAACATCTTCCACGCCTTATAATTTTATAGCAAGTCATCCTATAGGTAGAAACACATATCAAGAGAGATATCTTTTTATTTATCGTCAAAATGAATGGAAAGTGTTGGAAGATTACGTTGTTGATGACGTGAAATTAGGTGATAAATTTTCAAGAGAACCATATGTTGTAAGATTTCAGAATTTGAGGAAACCAGATGTAAGAATAACTCTTGTTGGATGTCATACTCAACCAGAAAAGGCATTCGATGAAATTGACGTTTTGGTTGAACAAGTCTATCCAGATGTTAAAAAACGATTAGAAGGAGGGACAATTCGTGAAAGAAATGTGAAAAAAGCATCAAAGAAGAATAATGATAGTGATGATGGTGAAGAATCTAAAGGGTCATTTATTCTTCGCTACCTTTGTTCTTGCTTTGGTGCAAGGAAAAAAGAATCGACAAAAAGAGAACATTCTGGGAAAAATGTGCAATCAGTAGAAGGATCCGGCGAGCCAATAGTTTTAATGGGTGATTTAAATGCATCTGGTTCATATCTTAACAAATCACAACGTGCAATCATAGATGAAAAATTACTTGACAATAATTTAGTTTGGGGTATTTCACATGAAACAGATACCACAGTTTCTGATGGAAATGACGCGGCATATGATCGATTTATTTTTGAAGCTGCAAATCAAAAAATGTGGATAGGAAATTCAAAGGTATGGAGATTTGATGATAATTGGGACAATGGCAAAATAGATCAACAATTATTAAAAAGAGCCACAAAACGTGTCTCGGATCATTATCCTATTGAGTTCGAATTGAAACTTTGAATCAATTAATAGCTTTTGTATTTTTTATTATGTAATTTTTATTTTTTTTATTTCATGTATAATTTTAAAAATGATTTTTTTTGTATTATTATTTTATAAATAATAAATTGACTTTATTATTTTTAGTAGCCTGCACATGGTCACGATCATGTGATGGCAGTTTTGTTTTGTAAAGTTTAAGAGGTTGTTAATGGTTCCTTTTATGAATTTATTAAAGCTAGAAAAACCAAGGTTTCCAAGATAATAAAAGATATTAAGGTCTTGTCATTCCAATGTCGATATCCGCTACTCATGGATCTCAAATATCGAATATCAAGAATACCCTTACAACAATATTCGCCTATTTTGTAAGGGATGGATTTAAAGATACTAATTGTCCAAAACCAATGCAAGATGTTGGCTGCTGATAATTTAAATACTCGATTATGACTATGATTATGACTTGTCAATATTGTTCTTCCAATAGTTTTTGTTTTTTCTAAGCTCCTCATAATCTCCATCCGAGCTCCCTATATATATATTACTCTAGAAAAAATCCCCGAGAAAACATTTGCTGGATATTTACAAATATATAAATAGACTTTTATTATCATTTGAGGAAGTAAGAGTCTTTGCCTGAATTGTTTTATCTTCGTCAATCCAATTTATAATATTTTGAAAATCTATAATGATCCCAATGAACATTTCTAAGCTTTTTGATAGTTAAAGGAATGATAATAATCTTCATTCCTGTAAAGATTTATGTCTAACCAACTAAAGTTACCTATTAGCATCTAAATCGTTTGTAAATTTAACATAACGGTTTCTTTAATAATTCAAATTTTAATTTAATGTTATTTCCCACCAGGAAATCTTTATCTTCCATTAATAAACAATTAATTGATATTTTGATATTCTTAACAGATATCTCCCATAAAGTTGCAATATTGAAATTATGTCGCTGTTTATTAGCTAATAATAATCATATTATGAAAGAATGCATCTTTCTCTAAACGATCATTTATCTGTCTTGAATTCTGGATTGTTCATCTCTTATTGTATTCCTCCTATCTTCAAATTCTACAGAGGCGAATCTGAAAACAAATTAATTATTTTGTGAATAATGTAAATTTATAATTGTCCATCATTTCTTCCGATATATTTATCAAATTGAACAGTCCAGAGTCCATATACCTTTCAATCGCTTGTGTCACCTCTTATTGGTCATTATGATAAAAAGGCAAACCAATTCGATTATCACGGGCAACAATTATTAATATGTATAAATATTTTTGCTGATCATCAATTCGATTTCAGATGCAGGGAACTAAAAATGACCTGTGATTTGGATGAATGTTTGCAGCCTACTAAGCTTTTTTTTACTTTGGGAGATGGAAAAAATAATGTCCTTTAGAAGCTACTCGAGAAATTTGGGGAAAAGTCAACATTGTTGCCTTTTCAACACCAATGGTTACAGCATTAAATAAATACCGATTGATGAAGCGATCCTTACATAGATCCAGATGATCCCGAGAAGAAGAATATTGAGAGGCTTAGTGGTGGAACATTAGAAAGAAAAATGAAATAACAGGACATCTTTTTATGACTGATCAAGAGAAATTACTACTATCTTTAAGAGAAGATTTAAAATCAAGGAATTGACTATTTTAGCTGCTTTTCTAAAGGTCAAATAAAACCTCTCCGCTGGTAACTCAAGAAAATCAAGAAATTTGCAAAGAATTTCTTATTGAAGTTATTCTCCCTCCCAAAAAAGCGGTTACTCATAAACCACACCACTGAGAGTGGATAAAGGAAAGTCATGCTTGGCTTTGTTATTTTTATTGACGATAACACAATTACACAATTGACAAAAACTAGGAAAACTTTTTCCAATAACAGTGAATTTATAGGTTCCTAATCTCAAAGAACTCAAATTAATACACGTGATTTGCACCAGTTAATTGAAAAATAAAGAGTTTTTATTTACACTATTCCCAATAACTTTCCCAAACCTTATTATAATGTTTTTTTTTCTATCTTTTTTTTTTTCTAAAATAAATCTAATTACACGTTTAAATCATTATTACTACTACTACTATTATTACTATTATTATTATCACTATTATTATTATCACTATTATTATTATCACAGTTATTATTATTACTATTAGAAAAATCCACAACAGAATCTTGATTTGAAGTATTATTAATTTGTTGTTGATCTTCATTGTTTACTAACAATAAAGATCTAACTTCATCCAATGAGAATTTCTTTGCTTCCAAAGCATTAATGTCATGGTTTTCAAATGGATGATTTTCCTTGTTGAATACCCAATCATCCATGGTTGGAACCGGATGGCTGGTAACTGTGTCAAGTTCCTGTTTAATTATTCTAAAAAAAATAAATCATCATCATTATTATTGTTGTTATTATTATTATTAAATATTTTCCTTGCCTCCTTGACCTTTTTTGTTTTTTTTTTTTTTACTTACCCACAAAAATCATCTAATGGCAAATCATTCTCATCATAACCAAAAGGATTCTCAATTTCGGCGCCTATTCTTTCAATACCCAGTAAAATTACAGAACCAAAGAAAACAATAGGAATGGTGGCCCAATGCGCCTGGCCCACCAATTGAAAAGGCAACGATAGACAATAAATCCAAACAGTTTGAGACAGATGGATTGAATATGCTAAAGGTATTGGGCTACGTAGAATACGTTCAAAATGTGATAAACAATCCACCATAATGTTAATACTATTCAACATGTTTGTTGCCACCGGAGCACTAATCCTATCTTTAGAAAGATTGTCATGAACATACGATGATAGGTAGAGAGTGATTTCCAATGGTAAATTGTGATTTACAAATGCCATTTCTTTATCGTTTGTTAAATGTGGTTTCTTTGTTCGGTGAAATAATTGATCCCATAAAGTTGACTGTTTGTTATTATTATTATCATCGTGTGCCTTTGCGATCGGAGTGAATCCGGGTAGTTTAGAATGAACATTGGAGATTAATGGCCGGATATCATCGTATGTACAACCGTCTTCTTCACGTAAATAATGTTTTGTCGCAACAGCAAACCCTACCAGAAGGTTAATTGCGGTCCTTTTCTCCAAGATTATCCGAGTAGAATTTTTGTCTTCTACATGTACCCAAATAAATCTTGTGAAATTACGTATTGTCGTCACCATAGTAGACCATAATCTACGTCCTTCCCAATACCTATTATGGGGGCGGGAGGTGAATTAATTACCAATCAATCCAATATGTTAGATCATGATTAAATTGCAAGCAAAAAAAAAACAAAAAAATTGCCTGAAAAGAGCTAAAATTATATCACAAGTGTTTTCGATAATTACCTATCATAGGCGGTATTGGTTCTGTAGGTAAGCAATAGACCAACCACCAGACCAATGACAGTGATTAAAGTGACTGGTATACTGAGTTTTACGGGAGTTTGTTCAAAGAGAACAACGATGATGGTAGTAAATGCTGTTATGAATATCGAGGAACCAATAACATTTGGTAGAACTGAACCTTTTATTCTAAATAAGTTTGTTTTACGATTTTTGTACGGATTATAAATATGAGGATGTAAAACTCGACTAATTGTGTGTTTACCGTTATTGCTCATTTTTGATCTTTTAAAGTAAATTAATGATTAAAGAATGATTAATTAAAAAAAAAATCAATTTTTTTCTTAATTTGAAAAATATTATTTAAAAAATTTTTTTTTTTTGATTTAAATTTTCTGAAAGCATTATTTATGCGATTTTACAATGTGTAAATAAATATTACATAAATTAATTAGTTTAATTAGTTTTTTTAAAGATCTCTATCAAATTAGGGTAGAATCACATTTTACTAAACCATATATAGGGAAAATATATATTAAATGATTTACTATGTACATCAAAATAGACAATAACTTTCTTTTGATTTTGATTTGAACATTGGGATTAATATTAATATTGTGTTATAATTATTATTATTAGTAATCTTTCACAAATTTTTTGTTCATATTTATCAAAAAGGCGAATAATTTTATGACATAGCAAAAGGGCGTTTTATTTTAATATTTTTACTATTACTTTAATTAAATCGTCAAATGGACCTTTGGCGAGAAAAAACTATCTTTAGTCAAACTTTAATTTACGTTAAGGCTTAGAGTCAAATTTAATTTATATTTTTATTTTTTTCTTTAATTATTTATTAAAAATATTTATCAAGATTTTACTTTGTAAACAGTTTCAAAAGTATAATAAATAAACAAGATTACTATTGCCCTTGTCATTCGTTATAATAGTAGGTAACAAGGTCATTCAGGGCCTGCAGAAATTTTCAGCTAACTTTGTAATTACAATTTATAATATCATAACTGATGTGTGATGATATAATTGGGTATACAGGATTTATAAAATAATAATAATGGCTCAAATATGGGATATAACGGGTCTGATAATGATAATAGGATGGGAATATAAACGAGGGACAAGCCGTTCCGAAAAAAGACTATGACGGATCCTTTAAGCAAAAGCCAACCTCTCTCTTTTACTGTTATTAATTTCTCTTTATAACAAATGTATCTCTCTCTCTATTATTATATATAGTAAGCTTATTATTATGATTTATTATTAACGCAAATAAAAAATTGAATACTCGTCGTGTCACTATTTCTTGTCAAAGCTCGTGATTTTCCCTGCAGATTTTTAAAGTTGTTTCCATATTTTAATCAAATCTGCTGTTTTTTCTTATTATTTATTATTCAGGAAAATTAAGGTTTCATATGTTAAACTCGAGGGAGAGAGATGAGAGAGCGTATTTCATTTATATAATATAAATTTGTGACCCATGAAAACCTGTTTCTTTCCACAGCCACAAATTAATTTTTGAATTTTAATTTTAGAAATGATAGGCTTCACATGTGTAGTCCCTAGATTATTATTATTGTATTATCATATCCGTTTTTGTGTACACATCAAAAAAATCACCAGATTAGGATATATTTTTTACAAATCTAAATAATTAGAATGAATTTGAATTTAGTAGCGTGTCATAAAAGTTTTAAGCAAATTTAGTATTACGTAGTTGTTTAAATTTAAATTCAACTATCAAAATTGCACTTTGGCTTATCAAAAACCTGCCAAAGTGAATGTTGATATGAATTAAGCCCAGAGGCAACAAAACTCTTCCAATTGTTAATGATTTCATTCATAATATTCAAATAGAAAAAAATTTTCTTAACACCAACATTAAAAAATTTTTGGCAAGAGGCGCAGCATTTGATATTTTTTACAATGCAGGACACCTAGTCCTTACAACTTTTATTGGTCTTGCAGGTCCTTTAACTCCTCCAAAAGTGGAATGCATGACCAAAAAAACATGATGTAATTTTTGAAGCTAAGACCTTTCTCTAGAAGTTACATCTTCGTTTTGTTGATATGTCATGTTGTTGTGGGGGAATTAAGCCTCAAAGTTGCACAAGTTTAACAAATTTACTATGCTAACTTTTCAAAGTGACAATGAATTGAAATTATTGAAATTTGTATGGTTGATCTTTATTATGTGATAATGGTAAGAAAAAAAAGGGAATCATATTATGAATAAAATTTTCCTTTTTTTCTAACATAATTGGTATATTAATTGATAATAAGGTTGCTTGCTGAAACCTCTTAATGGCTACTGAAACTCTGCCCAATTGTCAAAATTTTAAATGCCAATTGATTTCCAGAGGAGTTTTCGCAAGAAACCATAATTGTTACATATTTATATTATCTTAATTATCTATACAGTATGTACATATTATCTGGCTAAGTTTTCACACTTGACAATCTTCACAACCAGGGTGCGAAATGTGAGATCAAAAATATCGGGGGAATGCCCGGTTTAGGAAATATTTACCGGAAATCTTCAAAAAATATCGGCCAAAAAAATTTTTCAAACAAAAATTTTAATGTCTTATTCGATTTTGGTTTAGTTCTTCCCAATGAAAGTAAGCTTTTGATTTAATTGAAAGAAAAAAATGATTTATTGCTGAAAAAATAATTTATTTGCTGAAAAAATAATTTATTTATTGAAAATAATTGGGGCTTCAGTAAAGAAAAGAATGATGATTTTTTTAATAATCAAAATTTACTGAATGAAGAAGATCGGCAAGTTATTTATTATTGGTCATCTCTGTGGTCTTTTCTCTGCTATGTAAAATTAATTATTTAATTTTTTAATTTGTAGTTATATAAATACTGATTCTGATTCTGTTGTTGGTATATTATTAATTTCACAGGTAAAATTATCATTATGGATTTTTATTATAACAGCACATTTATTTCTTGATATTATTATTATGATATTTTTAATTCTGGATTTTTTTTCCTTGCAAAAGTGATCGGCGCGAACAAGTTCACGCGCACGTGATATTTTTTACGACATTTTGAATAAATCTATGCCTTATTATTATATAAAATTATTATTGATCATACAATCCGAATTAGATTTATTAAACAAGAGAATGCCAAACTTATGGCTAGAATCGCAGAATTGGAGCAGACTGCAAAAGAAAAAGATGAGCTCAAGGCTAGAGAGAGTACCAGATGCGAAGCTGAGAATGTCAGAATTAAGACACGATTTTGGGGAGCTCAAACAACAAACTCAAGTCATTACTAATGTACAAAGAGATGAACAAAAACGTTTAAAAAGGGCAGTATAGCGATTTTATGAATATTCATCATTTCTATAATGATTTTTCTTTTACGTAATATATAATTATCTTTTCAAACATGCCTAGCTCATCATTATTATCTTTTGAAATCTTCGCCCATTATATAACTTTTTGAAGGCGTCTCCCTTGGATAAATAACCATTTCGAATATAATCACACAACAATGGAATTG